ATTTCCTTCCCTATATATATAGAACCAAAAAACTATGAACTGTGGGAAATGAACAAACAAACGAAGAAACAATAATGGTGTAAAAAATACTATTGTATTATCTCTTTATGTCTCAACAAGTCATACATGGAGTTAATAATATGTAGCTCTTAGACTACCTAAAAAGAATATTTATAATTGAATCCATATTCTAATTAAAAAGTCTGATGGGAGCAACCCCTTGAGATGGCAATCCATTGAAAACACCAAACGGTCGGTTAAAACAAGGTGATTACCAAAACGAATTGTTGATTCATCATTTTTAAATTCAAACAAGTTTCTGGGGTGTTATTGGTTCGTAACAGACTGTCGTTGTTCCATGATGGGGAGGTATGATTTCATTTCATTGTCATTTACGATCATGTCAAATACCTGAAGAACACCAGCCGCAGATAAGATCTGTTGCCCATGGCAGATAGAAGCAACTGGCTTCCTTGCTGCCATAAACTCCTTCACGATTGCAATAACACGCGCATTCAGGGCCAGATATTCTGGTGCTCTACCACCAGGGATTACAAGGGCATCATAGCTCGATGCGTCTAAGCCTTCAAAATCAGCAGTTAACATAAAATTATGGCCCGGCTTCTCACTGTAAGTTTGATCACCTTCAAAATCATGGACAGCAGTTGGGCAGCTATCGCCAGCCTTTTTCTTGGGACAAACTGCATCAACATGACAACCAAGAGCTTGAAGGGATTGAAATGGAACAGTTACCTCATAGTCCTCCATGTAATCCTGAAATTGAAAAATATAGAAAAGTAAGCTTGGTAATATTAGCCATGAGAAACCATGCCTTCAGTAATCTTCAAAAGATGATTAAAAGAAACAGGTCAGCCGTTCAAGTTGTTGTAAAAAGAACCAAAAGATGACTTTAAAACAGCCAAAACCCAGTAAATGGCTTTATTCCCTAAGAACTTAATAATGGAAAAAGCATGGAGCTGACACATAAAATTGCTCAATATTCCAAATTAATGGATATGACTACAAATTATTGGAAGGGTAGAAAAATAGAGAAAAACAAAAACCGATAGCAGGAAGGATGCCATTTCAATCAAAGTACAGCATCCTCTATTATGAAATAAAAATGATAAGAGATTTTCTGCAAGTTCACAAACTACTCAGACTTCGATTCACTTGTGCAAATATGTAGTGGTTTGAGGTAAAAGAGTCCAATGGTAGCATTTGAGGTACAGGATTGAGAGTTGAAGAGAGTCCTGGGGAGAGAACTCTAGTCAAGGGTGTACCTGTCCAATGTCTAGTTTATAAAATGGTTTTGAGGAACAAGGTATTCAATAAACCCTTCATCAAAAGATGAATGATCGTGACCTTTCAGACCAACAATTCACAATAAAGAAAGGGATGAGACAACTAAAGTATCAGAAAAAGAAAAATTAATTATAGTAGGAAGAAAGGCAATGATGTTTGGTTTAACACTGACAAGTATTCCATAGCATCTAACTTTCTGATGTCTTTTTGACACAATCCTCTAACCTTCCACCAGCCAACATTATTATTTGAATTAAGGCTTCCAAAGTTACAAGGATGAAGAGAAGTTTTTTTTTTATTTTTTTTATTTTGATCCAACCATCATAAAAGGCATGCAAGTTGGTTTGGAGTGCTTGGAGAATCCTCATTCAAACCGAAACCTATTCTTTTAATCTATCACTTCCCTCAATAATGATGCCACATGTGATTTCTAAAGCTCCCATTTCAAGGAGGGAAACTGGAGGAAATTCAGAGAGGAACCACTTAGCCAAGAGAGAGATAGGAAGTTAAAATTTATAGTTGTGAACTTAGGTAGGATAGCCAACTGGCAGTGGGCATGTAGAAAAAAGTAAAGGAACTTTCGGGGAATGGATTTAAACCCCATGATAGCCAATTACCTATGATATTAAAATTTTGAGTTTCATAACAAAACATTCTACAGTCAAACAATTGTCTAGTGACTTGTGAGATAAAATTAGTCATGAACATAAGTTGACCCAGATACTCGCGATTATTGAAAAAACAAAAACAAAGGATTGTTTGAAGTGTGAGAATTCTTCAACAGTTGTGATACACGATACTAGCTTTCAGAATGCACTTTGGAATTATTTCGTGTCTAGTGTCATCAGATTGCAAATAATTAGAGCATTACATTACAATAAATAACTGCATAGAACACTATATGCAAGTAAGTTTATTGTAAAATTTAAGCTTACCCCACAAAGGAATAGAATTCTTTTATCTGATCCAGTGACATTTCCTCCAAGTGCCTTGACAAAAAGTTGAATGAACTCAGGATGCCCCTCATACGTGGCAGCAGTGATGATGTTACCATCCACAACACATGCTGCCATACTTTCTGGCTCAATCCATGAAGCACCAGCAGCAGTTAGTACGGGCCCCACAGCAGGGTATGCTGTACACTTCCGACCTCTAACCAGCCCTGCAGCTGCCAAAATCAACTGTCCATGGCACACAGATGCAATTGGCTTCCTAGATTCCGAAAACTTTCTTACCAAACTCTGCACCAAGCTATTCATAGCAAGATATTCTGGCGCTCGTCCTCCCGGAATCACCAACCCATCGTATTTGTCAATATCGATTTCATCAAAAGTCGCATTCAATGTGAAATTGTGCCCACGAGATTCTGAATAAGTCTGTAACAAACACACAACAAAATTCAAAGGACACTTTTGGTACCTATTCTTTAACTTAAGTAATGATCCAATACATGAACTTTAAGTTTGTATCAATGTAGTCTCTATACTTGAGTCTCTAAACTTTCAAAATTGTAGCAATTTCAAGTTAGTAACAATTTAGTCCTTGTACTTTAAAATTTGTAAAAATATAATCTCAGCTATCAATTTAGCATTTGTAATTTACAAATAAATTCAGTTCCTAATCAGTTTATAGACTACGTAGGTTATAAATTTCATTAATCTTAACAATATTTTTCATGATAAAACTAACCCATTACAAATTTGAAAATAGTTTTAGAAAATTGGAAGTACGGGACCATATGCGCTTTTTACCAAATTCAAAATTAATCAAACAAAACATGAATTGGATATTGTAGGGTAGTGCAAGACATAGTGGGATAAAAGAAAATGTTCAAAATACTAAGTTGAGTCATGAAAGGAAATAAGGAGAATAAGATACCTGATGACCTAACGAGTCATGAATAGCGGTCCGACAGATATCACCAGCCTTCTTCCCCGGACAAACAGCATCCACTGAAACTCCATATGCGATTAGCGCTTGAAATGGGACCATCGCCTGCAATCGAAATCAAGCGAAAGCATCTAAGTTCGTCTAGAAGTTCCATATGGATTCATTTTAAACAGAGCGATTCAAAATAATGATCAGAGAAGAAGAAGAAAAAAAACAGACATTAGTATCAATCAGAAATTCCAAATCGAGAAAAGAAGAAGGAAGTGACCTCATAGTCTTCCATGAAATCGCCGCAGAGGAGGAGAACAGATTTGGATTTGGATTTGGATTGAGCCATGTCCTAATCAACTTCAAACTCCGCTTTAGTGTTCTTCCCAAACAAACGGTGGGAAAATGAGAATATCCTCATCTCGACGATCGAGTTTAGGATTAATATATAGCGCACGTCTGGCGCCACCTATTTTTCCTTTATTTATTTATAGAGAACAACGATCAATCGCTAGATTATTATTATAATTATCATCATTATTAGCTTAAATTATACTTTATATTTATGAACTTAACGAGCGGAAAAACTCTCCATTATTATTTTTAAAACAATTTTAAAAAGTGACGAATATAAATATTTTTTTTCCCTAAATTAATAAAATAAAAAATAAAAAAATAAAAACTCTTATATTTTATATTATATCTAAAAAAAAATACATATCCTTAACTTATTTTAAAGTTTAATTAATACACTTTAATTTTTTAAAAAAATTCAAAAATAACCATGAAAAATTAAACGGTGATGTCTCACATTGGTTGGGGAGGAGAACAAACTAGGTGTGGAAACCTTCCACTAGCAGAGGCATTTTAAAGCCTTGAGGGAAAGATCGTAAAGAAAACCCCAAAAAAACAATATCTACAAATGTGGATCGAGTCAGGTTTCAGACGATGTGCAAGCCCGAAAGGAAAAGTCCAAAGAGGACAATATCGACTAACGGTGTATCTGGGTCATTACAAATAGTATCAGAGCTAAGTTTCGAACGATGTGCCAGCCTTTTCGCTATTCCCTGAAGGGGGGTAGACACGAGGTGGTGTGCCAGTAAGGACGCTGGCCCCGAAGTCGGGAAAGTCCAAAGACCCACATTCTTTGGGGAGTAGAACGAACCACGGTGTGGAAACCTTCTCTAGCAAACGTGTTTTAAAGCCTTGAGGGGAAGTCCAAAAGAGAAAACCCAAAGAGGACAATATCAGCACGGTGAATCGGTGTAACCATAATGATCAAATCGGAGGTTTTGAAAACAGAGGCCAAATTAAATTAAACTCAAACCAAAAGAGAACTTAATCTTGATCAAGTTAGAACCACTAAGGAAAAATCGAAATCTCTGCTGCAAAATTCATATCAAATTGTTCATTCCTTGAACTCTACTGGTATTCAATTACAAAAATGGATCAAACATCAAGAAAACTAGAAGATCACATAGGCATTGCGCTAAAGCACTCAGAAGCAGTTTATGAACAATCCAAGAAGCAGTTAAAACTGAGAAGTTTGGAGGAAGGGATGGAAATGATTCAGGATTCATACAGCAACCTCGGGCGAGAGATGGATGGTTTTTACGAGATGAAGCCATCAAGATCGAAAAGAAGATATCAAAAGTGGTAAATGCCAATGTCTTTGAAGATGAAATACCTGGAGAGCACATCTGATGACATTGGGAATATGGCAGGGCTTTCATTCAAGATGCTCAATCCACAGCTCTCAATGATCTTAATTCTTTGAGCAAAGTTCAATCAGAAGCACTAGAGGAAAGCTGCAACAGTTGGATGAATGTAGCCACAAATTGCTTTTATGATGTAATATCAAATACAAATATTTAATTCTCACGTTAATTAGGGAGTCTAAAATTTAAAAATTCAATGAAAACACAATCCATCCAGAAGCAGAGCATCTCAAATTACAATCAATTAATCAATCAATCAGGGAACCCAAATCGGATCCCTAGGGCTAAAAACCGAGCGTTCCAAATGAGCATCCAGCAATCCAATCGCAGCAGAGTTAGAATTAACGCACCTCGGCGTCTTATACTGATTCATCGATCCCCCTTGCGCGATGATCAAATCCATCAACGCATCGAACGTTCCAACCCTAACGAGACGAATCTCCAGCGGCCCGATCGACTTGTCCTTGGCTCTGCACCTTCGATACACGTAATCCAGGTGTTCTTCGACGGCAATGCAGCAATCCTGAAGCACGATCGAGAAATCGAGGACGGCGGTGGAGTTGAGATTTGGAGAGTAAAGGCGAATCTCCCAGTACAAGACGTAGTGGCCAGGGACGGAGGAGGTGTCGGCGAAGCTGGTGTATTCGACGAGAAGAGCGTTGTAGGGCTCGAGAAGCTTCTTGGCTATGGCGATGCTTTTGTGGAGGTCTTGTTCGTTGGTCTTGTCGCTGTCGATGCTGAGAACGACGTTCCTTCTGCAGATGAATCGGAAGTGTGGTGCTCTGTTGTGGAACCCTCTCGCCTGGACTACGTCGCCGATCCGGTAACGGTTCAACCCTGATCACAAATGAATACCAATACCATATTTCCAAATATATATATCAAACTATTATTACGTAATAATTTTCTAGACTTTTTATTTCACTTTTTTTTAAAATTCACAAATATATTATATAAAAAAATTAAAACATTACAAACATTTTTTTTTTGTTGATTTTAAAAAATTGAAGTAATTCAACCTTAAAATTTAAAGATTTATTAAATATTTTTTAAATAAAAAATTAGAGAGTAAGAATATTAGTGGGATGTTTAAAATCCAATTATTATGAATAAAAAATTATTAAAAACTTTTTAAATGAGAAAGGAATAAAAGGTCTTAATTTTGATTTTTTCATAGCTAAATTAATAAAAATAATCTTAAATTTTACTTTTTATATTATACTTTTAAATTTTTAAAAACTTTTAAAAATATCTTTAAATTTAAAAAAAAAAAAAATATTCTTGTATCAAACCGTTAATAATTTATTTCAAAAATACCTTTCAAGTTTTCAAAAATTTCATTTAATAGCATTACAAGTTTCAAAAAAATACTCATAAATGTTATAAAGTAACAATAAAATAGTTTTTATCTATATATTGTAAATTTTGAACCATTTTTTAATAAGAGAAAGGTAATTTTAATGCCACTTTTAAAATTTTATGGATATTTTTTAACATATTTTTAAAAATTTTTAAAACAGAGCGGAATGGATGAAACTATTTAGAAATTCAGTATTTTTTGGAACATTATTAAATGTTTAAAAATATTTTTAAAATAAAAAAAGATTTTTTTTTTTAAGTATTATAATTTTAAATATTCATATTAATGCTAAATTAAATATAAAGCGATTAAAATGAAAACTTTAAAATATTTATATATAAAGTTTGAGAATATCCAGGAATATTATTCTTACCGGAGAAGGTTGTGACGACGAGTTCATAAAAGCAACCAATCTTGACATGAACCAAGCCGACGAGCTTGCTCGGCGGCACTTCCTCGTCCTGACCGTAAGCCTCCGTCCACACCTCACCGTTTTCTCCCAACGGCAACAACTCAAAGTAACACATGTTCGGCAACAATGTAAATGTCACCTCTCCCGGCTTCGACAATGGCTTCAAGTTTATCCCAAAATAGCACTCCGATGAAGCATACATCGTGCACACCAACGGCAGCTTCCCGCCGCTGTAATACTCCAGCGCTGCCACGTACTGCGCCATCGACCCTGTCACCACCGCCTCGATGTACTTCGCTCGTGGCCAAAGTCGGCATAGAATCCCCTTCCATGACTCTCGCCTAGGATTCATAATTTTATGTCACCAGCTAATGTGAATATAATTTTGAACATATTCAACTCAGAGTCTTACCTGCAAATGCCATCGATCTGGTCAGCTAGGGTTGCGTTAGGTGACGAGAGCAATGTCGTCATGGCAGAGCGGCAACTGGGGTCGGTAATGATTGGATTGAGCTGGCCAGAGCGGATGTCGTTACATAAGAGAAGCCAGTTGCATTCGAGGAAGGAGATGGCACGGAGGAAGGCGGAGGCAAAGACGGCGCCGAGGCGGAGGACATGACGGCGGTGGAGGAGGGCGGCGAGAAGTTGGCAGTACATGCTTTGGTTGGAGTCATTGCAGAGGATGGTTTGGTCGGGGCTAGTGAAGTCATTGAAAGGGTCGTCACGGGCACGACATTTGAAGTGCTTGCTCTTGTAGTAGCTGGTCAGCACCGTGCGAGCCGGTAGGCCACAGGGTGTGGAGGTTTCTTGCTTCACAAAGTATAAGAACATGGCCTTCCCTTTGTCCAAATCACAGATGTACCTGCATTATTTTACATTTTGCACGTTAACTCGTGCATAACTTAGTGAAGGTTCGATCTCCCGTCTTACAATCAAATGTTAGCTCTGCATATCAATCTTTTGTTGTTGTGGATTTCTAATATCGAAACTAGTTGAACTAGGTTCAAATTTATCATAAACTAGGTTAAACTAGAGCTGCTGTCTTCTGGTTTCCTGATTTGTCATTGTAGATCAAGGCCCATCTTCATTGTACACATCTCTTATATATATGTGAGGTTGTGACACATAAAGGTCACGGCATCATCCAACCTAACAGAAACCTCTTCCTAGTAAACGCGTTTTAAAAACCTTAAGGGGAAAAGTCCAAAGAGAACTATATCGACTATCGGTGGACTTGGGCTATTACACTTTTGTTCCTCACTATATGGGGTATCAACAACCGAGACACACACTAATGTTACTTGAAAGGACGTTTTCAATATTTTCCATACGTAATTCTTTGTATGATGTTGGGGCAAACAAACACTAAAATAGAACAACAGTTGTCTCGGCCTGGTCATTATGACCCTCTTTGTGGGGGAGTCGCCTCTTCTCTCAAAGAATCGAAAATGATCGATATTTCATGAAACAAATGAAAGGAAAACGAAAGATGAAATATAAATCATGGATCAACTAAGTCAAGTTCAACCTATAAAAGCATTCTCAAACATAGTCTTGAATAGGAAAAGACGTCGTACTGGTTCATTATAGGCATGATGAGATTATAAAGAAACGTGCGACGGTCGAGATCTTCTTCAGTTGATGGCATCATCTTAGGCTTACCATTAGAAGTCCCCGAGCTGAAAAGAACAAACTCGAAAGGTTAAAACGTTAAAATTACGTGAATGAACCAAACAAAGAAAGGAACAAAACCTGCATAACAGCTCAGTTATTTTATGGCCACTAATAAGAGAAGAGTCTTCGCCATTTGCAATTCTCTGAATGTAAGGGAAAATGCGACTAAAAGTGACAACAGGAACACAACGTTTAAATTCTGCAACGATGTCGTCTGAAGAACAACATTTTTCGTTAATTTTAATGTAGTTTTTCAAATATTCTGTGTCGCCATTTTGCTTTAAGATGTCTTTAAGGATGTTTTGTTGAACTTCATCGGCATGTTTTGTCAGTCTCTCAATCTCCTTCAACGCCTCCTCTCCCTTGTACTCGAGCTTCTTTCCATTCATGACGGTTTTTGACGGTTTGTTTGGATGATGAGAAAATGATGGAAAGTTTTGTAGGAGGGAACACAAAGTTCAGTGCTTTTGATGTTGTGAGAAACCCCAGTTGGGGCATTTTATAGGGTTTGTTTAGCTTCAAATCTTAGACGCCGAAGAAAGAATCCGACTCTTGTCTCCAACCCCACTGACTCGTTTTCATTTCCATGTCTCGACCTTCTGCAGCAAAAGTCAGAGGCAACAGACTCAAATCCTGAACCTGGGTCATTACAAGTAGTACAAGACTTTTTGACATACAAACCTCCTACCCGGTTTCAAAACCCAATTACCATTCCACTTCCAAATCTTTCCAACCAAACCGACTCTAAGATTCTTTTTCAGTTCAATAACTGTAAAATGAGAGATTGAATCATGAAAAACAGTAATTGGTATGTTATTGGTATGTTATTTACTAAGCTAAATTTGGATTACACTAATTGAGAGGTCCCACGTCAGTTGGAGAGAGGAACAAAGCATTCCTTATAAGAGTGTGGAAACTTCTCCCTAACAGACACGTTTTAAGATTGTGAGACGGACGACAATACGTAACGAGTCAAAGCGGACAATATTTACTAGTGGTGGGCTTGGACTATTACAAATGGTATCGGAGCCAGACACCCGACAGTGTGCCAGCGAGGACGCTGGTTCTCAAAGGGGGTGCATTGTGAGATCCCAACTTGGTTGGAGAGGAGAATGAAACATTCCTTATAAGGGTGTGGAAACCTCTCTCTAATAGACGAGTTTTAAAATCGTGAGGCTGACATCAATACGTAAAGGACCAAAGCAGACAATATCGGCTAGCAACCTCTCCATGTTATAGTTAGCTAGAAGGACATAATTGTACAACAAGGTAAACAAGCTAAGGTGTCATTTTCAAGGAAGAGCATCCCAATGTAGCCTTAAAGTTATATATATATTCGTTAATAGAGAACCATTTTTTAGACATTAATCCAGACATGTCTTGTCCTCTCTTTTATGGAGAGCTGGATTTGATCAAAGTTACCTCTTTTTTCTAATGAAAAAGGGAAGGAATATGAGCTCAACCATCCATTAAAATCCCCAAGATGCTTAATGCCCATTATAAGCAGCTAATGGAAGAAAGCTCCTACGTGGAGACCAACAATCGCCATAAATCTTAGCATCTTTTAAGAAACATAGTTTAGCATTTACTAAGATTTTTGTGCTCGTGTGTATGATCTTTCTTGTTTTTGGCTGGCAGCTATGAGATGCATATCTTGGTTGATTGGATGTTAAGTTCTTCCTTTTCTGAGTAAGATGTTATGGTGGTGAATATTTTTTTGAAACTTTTCCTTATTCCTTTCAATTATTTCCGCGTATTTGAGTTACGAGGTAGGTTCGTCTAATTTGAAGTTACAAAGTTGAGTCGGATTCAATTTCAATCTTATAATCCATGTGAATTAGAGCTGTACGTTAACTGAAGAGCATGTTTTTCTTCACTTGATTCAATTTCGACCAGTTACGTCACGTGAATTCAAGTCTAAAAGGTAAAAATCAATTTTTCGAAGATTACCCACTTTAAATTTATGGGCAACAGACTTGATACCTAATTTTCTTAGTTGCACGAACTCATCCACGAGGCGTAAACTTATGGTTTCAAAGAATTCATTTTTCAAGAAACTTTGTCATTAAAGTGAGCATAGTTCAATCGTAATTGATATACTATTTCCCTTGAGATCAGTGATTCACCCATTGCGAAAAATTCTCCACTGCTGCCTCCCGTAAGTGTTTTGATTGGATAGGAGGTAGCTTTAGCTCGGGTTTTTTATGCACCAAGTAGGTTAAATATATTTGGTCTTGTCTTCCAATAGCTTCATGGAAGTCTTTTTATCCTTACTTTGTTAATTTCCAACCATTCATATGTACTTTAGAACAATAATCCACGATCTTAACCAAAAAAGGTTTGGATTGTCCTACCCATTTCTCTGAATTTGTACACCCATTATCGTTAGTAATGTGGAATCAGGCTTTCTTTTATGAATCCAACCTCTGAGACAAACCTTCGTGGCAATATCTTGCTACTTTTACCCATTAGAAAGCCATTGATATGATGGTCTAGGAACTATTGACAGATATTAGGAGTCTTATGAAATAAGTCCGTATAATTCAAAGATCTGTTTAAACTAATCTATTGTTCGTATTTTTATTCAAGATAAAGAAGCTGTATTCCATGATATTTGTCTTGAAGTTTCTTGGAGAACAGAAAAAGAATACAGGGAACGAAAAATGAACAAAAATGTTATCAAATGAAGCATGAATGGTTAGAATTTGCAGTAAACCAATGAAGAACAAACAAGAATATATATATCAAATGAGGTATAAAAAGCAATGAATGAATAAAAAGATTGTCAAACAAGGTAACGTTTTCAGGGTTTGTTAAATATATTCACTAAGAATTTCTTGCTAGAGATTTTCCTGAGAACAGAGATTCAAAACAAGACAAACGAACAAAAACATTATCAAACCAACCATAGATTTTTACTATTCGTTAAACAATCTCAGTATGAATACACATACACTCTTATCTTTCGAACTTTCTTAGCATTTCTTCATGGTTAGGGCTACAACAACGTGGGAGCAATAGCAATAGGTGAGTTTAATCCTTTGCAAAAGTAATTCAATTCAAGTGTAAGTGGGAAGCACCATAATAGCTTTACAAAGGATTAAAAAAAGGCAAGTATTGCATCAGAAACCATAAAGGAAAAAAAAAAAACCCTTTTTGTGAAGAATAAGAAATGTACCAAACAATAGGTGTTCTAGGCAGCTTTTAGGGAGACCCTAATGAATGTGTAATTGGGGAGCCATTTGGGTGTGATTTCATTGCTTTGGGAAATACAAAAGAGCATTACCAATTGATATATATGGTGGGACATGCACTTTGTCTTCTCAAACTGGATTGCTTTTTAAATTTCTATTCTAAGTATTGACTGTGCTAAATGCTTTCTATCCTCATAAAGCACTTCAATAAAGGCTCAAGAAACTTGCTTTGGTTAAACGCTCATCACTAACTTAGTTATGTCAAAGGTGAACTCAGGGTAGAGATTTATGGTAGTTAGTAAACCGACATTGATAGATGGCTATTTGAGGGAAGGATTGTTGAAGTCCTATATTGACTAAGTAAGAAGAAGACTATGAATATAGAACCGAGGGACACTGTTTTCATCGATATGAGACCTTATACAGCACGACACAGATTATACCATAATCTTATCTCGTGTCTTCTGTATCACATAGATTGTAACGATTCTCCCTGAATCAAGATATCGAGTGAATATGTTTGTAGTCTCTATACACAATTCTCATCAACACAATTAACATAAAGTATACTTTTTATTCTAAATTTTATGTTCTTTTTTATTACCACGACCCATAATTTCATGGTCAATTTCCTCTTGCCCAAAAATATTTGTCCTACCTCCAACTCAACATTTCTACGGGCTTCCTTCCGACCATATACCCTTATTAATGTATGTCTTTTGGCTACCTGATCGACCGTCAACTTTACATTTTCTTTTGCGATCTTGTGAAGTACTTTTTTCTTATGGTGTGTCATGCTTCACAATTAAAGTTCTTAACTTCATCCATTCATCTTTCAAGGCAGAGGACGTTTCAAATGTTTGAAGCAAAGTGATGATTGAATGGTCATTTAGGAGAAATAGTTGGTGAGTCAAGACTTACCTTTCTCCAATGAAAAAGTTTGTCCTCATCATCTCATTAACTGTCCCTGACTCATGTTATTTTGAAATCATATGTAGCGTTCAAAATTTGCTTGTCAATCTGGTACCTCATGTTGTGCCTCAACACATTTTGAGGGCAAAGGAGGTTTCAGATTTACGAAGGCAAGTGATGAGAACAACACGTTTTTTAGCATAGCTTTGTCCCGATCCTAAGTCATGGAAGTAATTAGTACACTTATCCCTCCTTTCCTCCCCCCCTTTTGTGATCAACATATAATCATTAGGCATTAATCACAAAATCTTTCAAGTTTATTCCAGAATACTGATTACTGCAGACTGATTCTATAAACAATGAACCAAACAATTGCTCGATGTAAAACCTAATCGAGAGTGAACTGAAGATACCTTGTCATATAGCGACTAATCGTTCCGAGCCACGTTCTGCTAACTCATTCATGCAACACAACAAAGAACGAACATGGAACAAAATGCAACGCCCAACTGTTAACTCCTTAATCAACTTGACAGAGCTTTCTCAGTGTGATGGAAGTTCGCCTCCCCTGAGTGAGTTCCTGGCCTTCCCACATTTGAAACCCCGGCTTACGATTTATCTCATGCTTCCAGAGGTACCGAGCTTCACCCCACAATAAAACAACCGATCCTGGGTTTAGGTATATGGGCACTTTTGACATCGATACATCGACTTCTCCCTTGCTAGTAGGATCACAGGAAGTTTCATCAACTCGAGTAAAATGCATCACGCACGGTGACTCGAGTGAGACAATGGCAATTCCATCTTCAAAGCGCATCAGGTCAACATGTGCACAGATCCCCTTTATGAAAAATATTAGAATGGAGTTGTAACAATGTCTAGGTGAATGAAATAAATACAGTGAATGAAGATAGCAATGTCAGATATAACTTTTCTTGAATATCATACCCTAATATGTTTTAACCATGCCATTCAAAAACCATTTTCATCAGATTAACAAAACATCTGGAAATCTACTCTATCATGACAGAGATTGAAGTGTGCAGAATTTGGACAAATCATAGAAGTGAACTAGTAAAAACAGAATTCATAAAAGAGATATGAAATGACTTAATCAAGATACTATACTTTTGGCATAATACCGCTATAAAAAAAATAATAATAAATAAATAAAATAAGGCGTCCTCTCCCTCTCCTCTTCTCCTCTCGCTACTTACTACTACAAGTAACTACACCCATCATCTTGACAGACCGAGCATCACAATCTAGGCGGCTAAAATGTTATTCTCTAAATTCTGTTTGCAGAAACTGTTTTGCAAACTGACTCTAAAAATTGCATTCTACTAAAACAAGGGGTGTTTTAAAAATTATCCTACCAAACAAGTTATATGGTTCTACATAAAGAAAAGGTATTCAAACAGCCTCTTAAAGCCCTTGAAGCTATGGTCCTACAGGTTCACTTCAAACAGATATCTAATCTTCTTTTCTCTCGCCTTTTATGATATTTGAGTCAGCTTACACGTACCTCGACTATTTTCATGAAACAACCACCTGACTACATTTGGTTGTCAGGAAAATATTAAATCCTAAATCGATTACTATGGCTTGAACTCATTCCTTCTAAACTCTTTATAACATGGCTCTTATGAACTGCTAAGCCAACCAATCGTGGTTAACAAATGTCTAATCAATAGAAAGGAAATGGGCATCTTCGCACCTCACCTGGTTGATACATGTTAGCTATCATTTGATCAAAGAGTGGTTCTCTCCACAAAATATCTGAAGGAAGAGGACAATCAATCTTAACTCCATTATGGCGGTCTACAATCAAAGGATCTGTCATGTGGTTACTTGAAAGCACTGCCTCATGAATGGAATCTGAAAGTTCAGCAGCCCATGTTGGAAGGTTTCCAAACCTCATGGCCTGAACAGATAATGTAACAGTAGATAAGGATATTATTAAGTCTACATTTCAAGAACAAAATCCAGCAACAGCGCAGAATTATGAAGTTCTCCTAGAAGAGTTCATTTCTAGAAATAAAATCAATATAATAGATCACCAATAAAATTATCAAGATTAAAACTGAAGTTACCTGATTTTGAGAGGCTTCCATGAACCACCCTTCTGAAAGAACAACAATACAGAAATAGTCTCTAATCATGTGAGATTACCACAGAAATAGTTTCTTAAACATTCACAAACTTGCTCAAATATCTACAATCTCAAAAAGAAGGGTAAAAAAAAAACTCTTCTCAAAGATTTATAAATTAAACAAAAAAAAAAAAAAAAAACTCCATCCTATTGTTCCTTCAGCTGAATCTTAAGTNAATTGATTTATAAAAAAAAAAAAAAAAAAAAAAAAAACTCCATCCTATTGTTCCTTCAGCTGAATCTTAAGTTCAGGGATCAAATTCGAAAACAGAACCTCTTTAAACAATATACGAAGAAGAAGAATGATCAAAACATAGAGAAATTCAATTTTCTTCGATATTCTCTTTCAAAGCAACTTGAGATAAGAAATTGCAGGAAAGTAACAGATAGATTCTGAGACGACGAACCGTTTCGGATTGCAGAGAGTAGCGATGATTCTTGTTGGGGAGAGAGGAAGCTTCTGCACAGCCATAAACCTTTGATTTCCTTGGCTTGCTCCCATCTACGAATGTGGCCCCCTTCATATGCTGAATCTCCTATTACAGTTTGATCTTCACAGTCTTCATCTTCAGAAGAATCGCCAAAAACTTGCTTCAGGATTTCCCGCTCATCATCCAGCTCTTCCCCCATTTCCCTCCGGTCGTCGCAACCTTGCTCGTCTTTGGGTCTACTGTTGGCAGTAGCACATTCCTTTTTTGGTTAAATTATAATTTCTTTTAGCTTATTTTTTTTATTTTTTTTTTTTTTGGGTGAAATCTCGCCTTATAAAAGTTTCAATTTAATGTTTACTATTTGTATTATACGTAATAGTTTTTAAAATTTTAATTTAATTTAAATTTAATTTGATTCATAAAAAATAAAAATAAAAAAAAATTATTGAATAAAATACTAATAACCATTTTCATCCCATAACAAAATCGACCAACATCTTAACAACCATCAACCTCGTGTATGTCGACTTTGATAGTTAGAATTTTAAAACTTGTGTACACTCCTAGATATGCTATATCTGAACAAAACTAACAAATGTGCTACAACTACGAACAAATTTTTCACTAGCGTTTTAGTAATGATAGCAAAATCGAACAACATCTTAGTTATGCAATTTGCAAAATTGACACTAACAACCATCAACCTCACCAGTTGTCTGTCGACTTTGATCAATCGAGTTAGATTTTCAGGACTTTGTATACACTCTTAGATATGATATACCTGAATAAACTAATAGATTTGCTACAACCACGAACAAATTTTTCCGTAGTGTTCATAGCAACTTGTATACTTCAAAACATAACGTTGGGCTATTTACGTTGAAAACATATCTAAAATCTAAAAAATTGACTTAAAAGTATTGTACAATTGAATCAAAATCTATTTGTATTTGATATAAAGATAACATGAACATATAAATCTTCATTAGCTAATTCAATTAGCACACTAATTTCCTGCTAATCATCATTCAATCTAAGATTAAAATTAAGATCAATGGGATAAAAATGTGAGTCAGAATAAGAGGCCCCATTGTTGAAAACTTTTAAAAAAAGCAGCTCATGAAGTACTCCTACTCCTATTGTTCTACCATTCCTGCAAGACGAACAAACACAATTAATTCAATATCAGAACCATGAACATTTTAATTCTTACAAATCCAAACACAAACACAACCCATTTTTAGTGACTATATGTGAGGTCCGATATCGATTAGAGAGAGGAACGAGTGCCAGTGAAGATGTTGGGATTATGAGATCTCACACCGGTTGAAGAAAGAAACGAAACATTTCTTATAAAGGTGTGGAAACCTCTCACTAGTAGATGCGTTTTAAAAATCTTGAGGGGAAGCCCGAAAGGAAAAGCCCAAAGAGAACAATATCTGCTAACGGTAGGTTTAGTCGAATAGTCGAATACTTCCAGGCATGGGTGGTGGGGTAAAGTCTGCAGGGATCATTTGGAGTTAAGGTTAGACCAACCCTTAAACCAACCGTCAATTCAAGATACATTTAAAAGAACTTATTTTTTTCACCAGCCAATTAACTGATCTATCAATGCCTACTCTCTTTGTTCATACTAGGATTTTGCCTTCATGAATGTTTTTTCAATGTTTTTGAACCCATATCATTTCTAAAATGATCGTGACCTAGCAAGTAGTGAATGGAGGAGTACTCATCCTCCAGTAGAGGAAGTTACCATGAGTGGGAAAGTGAGGAGAGGGTTTCACTAGAGAGAAGGGAAATGAAAACCAATGGGTGGGCTTGCAAGAGAGAAGAGAAGGGAGAGGTAATGAAAATGGGTGTGTGTCTTCGCATGCAAGCAAGAGGGAGTGTAGCAAATATTGTCCTCTTTAGGTTTTCTCTTTCGAGCTTTTCTTCAAGGTTTTTAAAACGCGTCTAATAGGGAGAGGTTTCCACACTCTTATAAAAAATGTTTCATTCTCCTCCCCAACCGATGTGGGATCTCACAGGGAGTCAATAGGTCTTCTTGCCTATAAAATGGGAGAGGAATTTAAATAGAAGTGGTTGCAGGTTAGAGAGAATGAAAATGGGAGGAAAAAGGCCGGGAGGGAATAACAGGAGCATCAGTTAGAGGGAGGATTATATACCTTCCGACGACAATCCTCCAACCGAGCATCAGTCAAGGGAGGATTATATAACTTCCAACGACAAGCCTCCTCCGGCTGACCAACATCACTTTAGTCAGTTCTGGTAGGGTTGTTCAATGTTTTCAATTTTACTCTTACACGGTAGTAAGGGTTTCAGATGTTAGAAACTTAGTTGTCTAAAGAGCTGGGTTGACGTGGGTGAAGCTAACAACCCAAGCTCATTGCCAGCAGATATTGTCCTCTTCGAGCTTTTCTTTTTGGGCTTTCCCTCGAGATTTTTAAAATGTGTCTGCTAGAGAGAGGTTTCCACACCCTTTATAAAGAATGTTTCGTTCTCCTCTTCAATCGATGTGGGATATCACATAAACTATGACTCATCAGTAATATCAATCATAAAAATAAAAAAAAATAAAAAAAAAATAAAAAAGAATAAACAAAACTCAAAACAAAAATGAATACATTCACGAAGAACAGAACTGCATGATGCTGAGGGGTAAAGGATTTATACTAGCAAGAAGGCGAAGCATGTGACCGTGCAAGCTTCGTCTGAACTTCAAGAGACAAAAGGTTGGCCTGGTATAAGGTTTTTCAGTTTCCAATATTCCAGAACATCTAAAACATGCTAAATTCCCCCAACATTTCACAGTCAAAAAGGACACCTACAAAGATATCTCAAAGGGGTATGAACCTACATTTAAAGGATTGGACAATACATTTTCTAGCTATCTCCTCAGTTTTAGATCATACGAAATCGAAAAGAACAACATGAAAGCGAAGATTCAAATCTATAGATCAATAGAATCTGCCTTATTCAGGAAAAATAATAAAACAGAAAGTGCTCAATTTATAACCTACGGTTCAATGCCGACAGAATTAACAAAAAGAGATATAAAGATGAAACATAACCTAATAGGTTGAGTAATTTTCAGCAACTCCAGGATGTAGCTTGTTGTAGATAGCCCTGGCAACTGGAAGGATAGCCAGAAGAGCAATCTGAAGTTGGTCAGAACTGCTTGTTCTAACAGAGATCTGTCCACTTAGTTTGTTGTTGATTCCTGCACGAACGGCCATTTTGTAACTTCGTCCAACCGAAAACTGTGACTGAAAGTTTGCCCCCAAAGCCATGTCTCCTCTCCATTTTACAAGAGATAGACCAAGTGATGATTGATCTTGTCCGATTGGGAAGTCGGCCTCTCTGAGCCGCATTTCCAGATTAGCCCCGAATGCAGAATCGCCCTGAGATCGAACGGTGCCAGTGCTACCAACCAATACAATGCGCTTTCCGAGTGTAATCTGATCCTCAACTTTGAATCCCGGGCACACGTTCTCTCCTAAGAATGTCACTGATATTCCAGCAGCTGTTTTGTTCCTTCTGAAATTTTTGAATTTCGTCTCTCCTCTGAGGATGTATGCAAGTTGTCTACCAATATTTTGAATGTCAAAACCTGCCATAGTTGAACCATTTTCTCCATGCTTAGCAGAGACCGAGGAATCTAAGTGGATATTGAATTCTTTTTTGTCCTTGGTGATTTGAACAGTAACAGCAGCAGGAAACCGACTAACAATGGCCATACTGTGTTCAAGATTCACACCATCATACCCACAGTCATGGTCCCAACCATGGGTGTCCAAGACTGGCCTCGCCAGGAACTGAGACGTTGGCTCCAAGAATCGAAATCTGTAAGCCGGATTATCACCATCAAATGAAGGAGGAAGGGCCATGTCAGGTAGAGGAACCTGCACAGCAGCTGGACTGCCATTTTCCTGATCATCGTCCCCCATGTAGCCATAATCATCTACAGTAGGTTGACCCTTCTTCTTGATGTCTCTCATCCTCTTTAATTCCTCTTTCCATTGCTTTTTCTGGAGCAGCTTCACCCTATAATCATATTCCTCAAAATATGCCTTCCTTTGCTCTTTGCTAAGCTTAGCAATCTGCGATTTTCTGAGCGGCTTGAACGGAGGGAGCTGATCGTACTCATCTTCCTCCTCTTCTTGATCAGAATCAGACAAGTCGGCCAAATCGATATCGGAATCACCATTCTCACCAGTTTGATCTGATGAAAGCTTCGGGTGTGCGCGGGATTGCAACAAACTGGACAATAAATATGGAAGAGGAGGTGAGCGAGCACGGAGACCGAAAAGCTTCCTGTGGTCAAATGTCTCTGGAGCTTTTGAAAGATTCCCCACTTCAGCCAGGATTTTAATAGAGAAACATAATAGTAATAACTGGGACCTCCAACTTTGACCATTTGGAAGCACCTTCTGACCTTCTCTATTCTTTCTACAAGAGGGATGGTTTTCAACAAGCGAAACTGGGTTCATTAAAGATGGATTCAGCATACGCAGATCACCAACAGCCTGAGCAACTGTTTGCTGAAGAACATGAGAGCGTTGAGCTACAAACACCTCATAACCCAAAGGGGTACCAGATGGACCATCTGGTGGAGCAGAGGCAGCATGAGTTAGAGTAATGATAGCATTTTTCCAGATGGAAGAACCGAGGTAGCTAGATACCGATCTTAATAATAGCAGATCATTAAGATCTCGGGTTTGGTTATCCAACCGGTCCACATAAAGAACAATATCAGGAGGGTTTTTCTTCATTACATTCTTAATTGAGGATAAAATTCTGTTGTTGATTCTACGTTCAGATGAAGATGATCTAAGACCAGGTGTATCAAAAATCCTGACTTTAACACCTTCTACCGTCCCAGTAATTTCTTTCACTGTAGTTGTACCAGGCGTAAACGCATCGATTGGAGATTTATCTTCCCCGAAAATTGAATTTATAGTAGCACTCTTTCCTACACCTGATTTTCCAAGCACAAGTATGTTCAATGAGAAGTTTAAATCTTGCTTTTCTTCTGCTTCAAGCTGAATAGCAGTGTTCTTTGCATTATCGAAGCTAAATAGCTGACCAGTAGGCCTACCAGCAACAAGCCCAAAACGATATAGAACCTGTGCTACTAGGGAATCGTCCGGAGAAACACCTAGTCTCTGAACAAGCCTTAAAAAGTTCACCCTTGTCTGCTGTAACTTCTGCAATTTGTTTTTCTCCTCTTCGCTCAATTTATTTTCAGAATCATCCACCACTCTAGGATTTGATGGGGCAAACGAGAGAGGACGGCTTGGGCGGGAAGCATTTTTTCCAGTTGTAAGTGAGGAGCCGAGACCTGCAGGACGTTCGACGGAGAAAAGCTGGGAGCCATCCTGAGACGTCACGGTGATAGGGCCACCATTTGAGCCAGCATCTCTAGCTGCTTTCAGAAGCGCTGCCAAAGCAGCTGAATCGAATAACTCCCTTCCATCATCTTCATCATCCGTGTCGGCTTCATCCGAGTCTGTGACAATCTGACCATCTATTCTCTGTGAATGATCAATAGAACTCTCTGCACCAGAATGGGAACCACCTCCTGAGGCTCTTTCCAATTCCTGCAAGAATTCTCTAGCAGCTTCAGAACTACCAAAGATCTCACCTTCAATCTCTCCATCTGTAACAGAACCCTCAATAACACCCTCTTCCTCTAAACGACGCTTCTCCCCGTACACTTCATTCAAAGCTGGTTCGAGTATCTTGGGAGCATCAGAAATTCCGCTATCTTCCACAGAACTTGCCTCCTGAGACGGTTTTTCCTTCCCTGTCTCAGCTGCAGAATCAACGAGGTTTTCAGTTTCTCGTTCTTCATTAACTGTCGAAGCCCCAATTCCATCAGACCGATGATCTTCGACATCCGTAGCCACACAATCTTCCTTTTTTGCAATATCAGCAACAGATATTGCTCTGACTCCACGAGACGCTGCTTCTTCGGTTGCAACTGCAATACTGACTTCCGGCACCTTATTGTCAATCTCAGAGCTTGAAACCACAGAATTCTTGTCAACAGACTCCACCCCATTATCCAATTTAGCAGCTCCAAGTAACAAATCTACAGTCTCTCTATTTTCCACATCCTTTATTTTCTCCAGTTTACCGACAGCATCTGTCCTTGATACCAATGGACTTTCATCCAAGGTTTTGTCATCTCCACCTGCGCCAGTAAATTCATCTACTTGTTCCAAAACCTTGGCGTTTGGTCGATCATCCTGGTCAGCTTTGTTGTCGACATCAGAAACAGTATCCAATTTGGTTAGCTGTTCTACATCTTCAGCATCCATCTTGTCATTCAATTTAATCTCCCCATCTGCTTGCTTCTCAGCTACAACACTTCCTTCGTCCACAACGGCTTCAACCTCCGAACGAGAACTAGTATCTGAATGTTTTAACTGCTCTCCATCTTCTGCAGCCACCTTGTCATTCAATTCAATCTCCCCATCTGCCTGCTTCTCAGCCACAACACTTCTGTTTTCCGTTTCTGCTTCTCGTTTTCCATCAGCTAATTCTAAAACCTCCGAGCTTGCTCGATCACGCAAATCAGCTTTGTCTTCAGAAGAAGAACCAGTTTCCTGTTCTTTTAATTGTTCAACATCTTCATCAACCACTTTCTCATTCACTTCAATCCCTTTATTTGCCTGCTTCTCAGCCGTCAGACTTTCTTCAATTTGCGGCTGTTTGACTGTCACATCATTCAATTCATCCCCCTCCGCCACCTGCTTACCGCCACTAACAGCTTCCCCAGCCACAGAGCCAACATGCTCAGCTACTAAACTTTCAGACACATTACCCTCTTTTGAGTTCCCCGACAACTCAACTGTTCTTTCTTGCACTTGACTAGCAGCATCACCCAAATTGTTTCCACCGGATTCAAGATTCTCCTCCATTTCCACGGGAAAATCAACCTCATCGACCTTCTTACTGTCAACAAAATCATCTTCTCCATCCACCATATCATCCATTTCCTCCTCCTCCTCGACGTCAGAATCAACAGAAACCTTCGCAATTGGCCTAACACTTACCGGAGCCGAATAACTCACAAAAGAACTACCATTATCACCTGCTTGGACGGATTTCCCGAGGGTTTCTTCCACAGAATACCCCACAATCGGTCTATCAAAGGCAGATTCAAAATCCTCCTCCTCACTCAAAAATCCTTCATTCTCCGAGCCACCACCATCACTACCTCTCCCATCGCCACCTACACTAGTTTTAATTTCACTAACCTCCATCTTGTCGGAGGGTTTATCGACATGTGAATCAACGGAAGAAGACGTAAAAGACGACGCGGAAGTCGAAGAAGAACCTGAGGAGGCTTCGTTCTGCAGCGACGATTCTTGAGCGAACTCCTTCGACTCCATCTACAAGAACTGAGTGTATCAGGCAATTAAAACTGGATAATGAACGAATGAAAACGGAAATTTTATCCACAAGGTCCTGCGAGTTGACAGGAAATTGTGGGGAGCGGCTGAGAGTTGAAGAAGGCTCCGAAAGAGAGATAGAACAATGGAGAAAGATAAGGTTTTATTATGACGGGAAGAACTCTCTCTCTCTCTCTCTCTCTCTCTCTCTCTCAGCGCTTCAACAGAGGGCTTGGAGTCGACGAAGAAGATTTTTCTGTTTTTTTATTTTTTTTAATTTCTTTTAAATACTTTTATTCGTTCGAAATATTTCAGATTGAAGATTCGAACGCTCGACCAAGATTCAAGAGGTTATAGTTGAATTATTTTCATTTTTACTTTAATATATATATTAAATATTAAATTGATAAAAATACACCCTTAAATTTTTTAATTTTCATTAATTTAAAAACAATTGAAATTTTTTAATCATCGTATAAATTATTTATCTACACTCTAAATAATCATTTCTTTTAATTTTATAATGAGTTGCGAACGAAGTAAAAAATAAATTATTTATTAAATGTTGAAAGTATTTTTAAAATTTATAAATTATTTATTAAATTTTGAAAGTATTTTTAAAATTTAAAAAAAAATTAAGAGTATTAATGAATTTAAATTTATATTTTAAATAAAGTATTGACAGTTGGTTTCAAAATAACTGTCTCTTCTAATATTTTTTTTAGATTTTTTTAAAAATTTTAAAAATTTTAAAAATATTTTTTAGATAAAATAAACATTTTAGAATATTTTTATTAATTTAACGTAAAGTATTTTTACGAGAAAATTAAAATTATTTTCATGTTTTTGTTTAAATCAATAGTGTACCATATTATACTAATACTTCCATATTTAATGAATTTAAAATAAATAAAAGAACAAAAACAATTATATAAGGTATTTTATTAAATTTAAATAATTTGTTAACTTGTCATTTTATTTTAAAATTAATATTATTTTACTCATGTCAGCACAAAATTTAATATAGATAATAGTAAAAAAATAATATTGAAATAGAAAGTATGATAAGGTGAGAAGGCGACAAGATCGTAGGGCTGAGAATGGAGGAGGGAAGATGATGAGATTTCTGTTGGGATTTTTGTCTCATTCGGTGAAATTGTTTTGTTGTTTCTTTTGGTTGTTGCATTTTTTGAGATAACGTTCTCAAAATGGTCCATTCCTTTGGATTTGTTTTATTCCATTGAGATATTGTTTTGTAAGGCATCCTTTGCTTCCACCCTCATCTAAATATATGTGGTCGTGACGGTCCTTATTCATTTCTGAATCGATAACATATTTAGGTCAAACAGTAAATCCAACGAGATTTATTTGATAGAATTATTGCAATACACGGAGCGTTAATCGTGAGAGTTGTTACGTTGTATGGTTGATTGTATGAAAATGTAATTAGAGGTGTCGAAGTCGTGACACGATGGAAGGTTACCTGTGTGATGTCCCACATTGGTTGAGGAGGAGAACAAACCACCATTTATAAGGGTGTGGAAACCTTCCCCTAGCATACGCGTTTTAAAGCCTTGAGAAAAAAGCAAAAAAAGTCTAAAGTGGACAATATTTGCTAGCGGTGGATCTGGGCCGTTACAACCTGCACAAACAACAAGGTGTGACCCTCTTAAGGTTCAAAATACGTTGAACACCCTTCAATCATTTTTATTTTTTCCAATTTTTTAGGGCAAAGTTGATTACAGTAAGATTAAAAAATTCTAAAATATATAATTAATCCTTAAATTTTTAATTTTATATCTAATAATTAAAATTTTATTTATGTTTAATAGGTTTTTGACTTATTTATTATTTTTTTAAAATTTATAGGCTTCTAAATACAAAATAAAATTTTATAATCATATTAAATAAAATAAAAATAAAAATAAAAATAAAAATAATTCCTTTCGCTTTGTATTAGTTTTGTGAAGAAAAGTTGCGGTTAAGGGTCAAACTTGAGAGCCACAACGGTGATGAATGAATATTTTTCATTTTCTTCACGAACTCCAACTCTGCGCCAGACGCCAATCCACAGCAGCCGCCGGGAAGCTCCATTCTCAGATCATCAAAGCCGGGCTCGACAAAGCTGGCCCTCTCCCCAACACCCTTTTAGATGTATACGGAAAATGCGGCCTCATTCCTCAAGCCCTCCAACTGTTCGACGAAATGCCCCACAGAGACCATGTCTCCTGGGCCTCGATTCTCACCGCCCATAACCGAGCCATTCTTCCCCGACGTACCCTTTCAATGCTTAGCATCATGTTTACGCATGATGGGTTGCAGCCTGATCACTTTGTCTTCGCCTGCATCGTCAGTGCCTGCGCCAGTTTGGGGTATTTGCGGCTTGGTAAACAAGTTCATGCTCGGTTTATGTTGTCTTCCTTTTGTGATGATGAGGTTGTTAAGTCGTCTTTGATTGATATGTATGCTAAATGTGGGATGCCCGATGATGCTCGTGCTGTTTTTGATTCAATCTCGTTTAAGAATTCTGTGTCTTGGACTGCTATGATTTCTGGGTATGCTAAATCTGGGAGGAAATCTGATGCTATTGAGCTTTTTCAGCGAGTTCCTGTGAGAAACTTGTTCTCTTGGACTGCTTTGATTTCTGGGTTGATTCAAAGTGGGAATGGAATTTACTCGTTTTCTTTGTTTAATGAGATGAGGAGAGAAGGAATTGATGTTGTAGACCCTTTAGTTTTCTCGAGTGTTGTTGGAGCTTGTGCAAATTTGGCTCTTCTGGAACTTGGAAAGCAAATTCATGGCTTGGTTATAGCTCTTGGTTTTGAATCTTGTTTGTTTATAAGCAATGCACTTGTGGATATGTATGCTAAATGTAGTGACATATTAGCAGCTAAGGATATCTTTTACAAAATGCCACGAAAAGATGTGATTTCTTGGACTTCAATCATAGTTGGGACTGCTCAACATGGGAAAGCAGAGGAGGCATTGAGTTTATATGATGAAATGGTTTTGAGTGGAATCAAGCCAAATGAAGTGACTTTCGTAGGATTACTTTATGCTTGCAGTCATGTTGGTCTAGTTACCAAAGGCCGTGAATTATTTAGGTCCATGACAGCTGATTATAAGATCAATCCTTCTCTCCAGCACTACACATGTTTATTAGATCTCCTGAGTCGCTCAGGACACCTTGAAGAGGCAGAGAATCTACTAAACAAAATGCCATTTAAACCAGATGAGCCTACTTGGGCTTCCCTATTGAGTGCCTGCAAGCGACATAATAACATGGAAATGGGGGTTCGAATTGCTGATCATGTCTTGGATTTAAAACCCGAAGATCCTTCGACTTACATACTCTTATCGAATGTTTACGCCGGAGCGGAAATGTGGGACAGTGTTTCGAAGGTGAGAAGGTTGATGAGTTGTATGGAAGTAAGGAAGGAACCAGGTTATAGTAGCATAGACTTTGGAAAGGAGAGTCAAGTATTTCATGCTGGGGAGACTAATCATCCTATGAAGGAAGAGATTTTTCATTTACTGAAGGATTTAGATGCTGGAATGAGGAGAAGAGGCTATGTTCCTAACACTAGCTTTGTTTTGCATGACATGGAACAACAAGAGAAGGAGAAGCAGCTGTTTTGGCACAGTGAGAGGTTGGCTATGGCTTATGGACTTCTCAAGGCTGTTCCGGGGACGGTTATTCGAATCGTGAAAAATCTTCGGATTTGTGGAGATTGTCATAATGTTTTGAAATTCACTAGTGATATAGTGAAAAGGGAGATTGTTGTTCGTGATGCCACGAGATATCATCATTTCAAGGACGGGAAATGTTCTTGCAATGATTTTTGGTGACTCTGTGAGATACTCTTCTACTTAGCTGGAGAATTCTCTGGCCGAAAAAAGGTATGAACTGGTGGAGTTTTTAGAAGCACTTTTCTGCATTTTCTGCATCTCTTCCAATTTATTGATTACAAAAGTAGAGAAATGATCAAAATATTTGTGTAACTTAGACCAAAAAGAAGCAATATTGTTGTACACTTTGCTCTTATATCTTTTAGAGTTTTTTTTTTTCTTTTAGGTTGTGTATGGACGGCATAAATTCCCCTCCTATTGGAGAGGATTCAGCTTCAACAACAAGATCGACAAAACAAAAACAGAAGAATAGGAAAAAAAGGTGACATAAAAGTTCCTAACTTTCTGAACTACGATGAAAAGTCTTCGATATACCATGAATAGGCTCTTAGGTCAAAACCTCATGTAAGTCACCCGTATACAATTTCCTCGCACATCCTTGAATATTTTGTTGTCCCTTTTATCCTTGGAACAGCTCTTGAGGTCTTCTAGAAGAATCTTTGCCTCTCCTTTCAGTCGCTATTTACGGGTTATAATTGGAGATACCATTGTTTCTATTACATTTGAACTAATGATTTACTAATTGGAAGTAACCAATTAAGTTTAGACGAAACCTAAAAAATTCTAGATTGTGAGATCTCACTTTAGTTGGAGAGAGGAACGAAACATTTTTCACAAGGGTGTGAAAAATTTTCCATAGAGACCCATTTTAAAATCGTAAGGTTGATGGCGATACATAACAGGCAGTGGACAATATCTATTAGCGATGGGCTTGAGCTATTACAAATGGTAGATACTAGACCCTTAAGGAGGTGGATTGTGAGATATGCTTGGATTGTGAGATATGCTGGACCCTTAATATGCTGGACCCTTAGGAGGTGGATTGTGAGATCTCATTTCAATTGGAGGGAGGAATAAAACATTCCTTACCAATGGTAGATGCTAGACCCTTAAGAAGGTGAATTGTGAGATCTCATATTTTAGTTGGAGGGAGGAATAAAACATATAAAGGTGGGGTAATCTCTCCCAAGGAGACATATTTTAAAAACCTTTTAGGAAAGTCCAGAAAAGAAAGTCCTATCAGATCCATTCCTTCAATTGGAAGAATTGATTGTTTTGTAATTTCGTTATCCAATTTTTTCAATTTCAAATTTATATTTTTCCGATGGAGTTATATTTAAATGATGTGTTTCCAAATGTCAATCCATCAACTAACAGTCTGAGATATTATTTATGTATTAATTAATTGAAAGAAATTTAAAACTGGAAAGCATAGGATTAAACATAGAATTTTAACCCATCTTTTACAACACTTCCATAAAGAGGCAAATCAAAGAACATAAAATCAAGGGGTTGGGAGGCAAAATGATAAATACAGCTCCAGAAACATTGGAAGATTACATGATCAAAGACATGAAAAACATATGCTTATCTTTAGTAAGGATGGTGTCTATGTTTCCTTCGAGTACCGGGTGACTTGATAACTAGAGTGCTCGAGATCCAAGATCGATTAGTTTCACAAGAATCGTCTGAAGACCAACAACATAAACGTCCATCTTCTCCGCCTGTCCATCCAAACACACCTTGGCTACGTGAAAATCCACCCGATGTGTTTGTCATGGGCAAGACACTTCTTACGATGCCAATGTGGCCACCCTCAAGGACAACGTCGGGTGATTCAATCGCATTCTTCCCCTTGTGATGGTCGACCGGGAAGTAGCCTACGGTACCATCGTTGGTACCTCCAAGAACCCATAATCTATCACCTTCACTCGAGTAGTGACAATCAACTAAATAATCAACCTGTCAAACAAGGAAGCATGGTATGATACGTTTGCATTTTCAGTCGTGAAACTTTCAAGAACTGCATGAACCATTCACTCCGACTAGCAATAATCGAAATCTTCGAATTGAAAGAGCAATTAAAATCTGGTCTAAGTAATCATCTCGAGACATTAGAAATAGTGTTTTGTTTCTCTTTCAACCTGGAAAGGTAACGATAAGTTTAAGAACCTATTAAATACCCTTCAAAGTTCTAGGACTATATAAACATAAATCTAAAAGTTCAGAGACTAAACTTATAACTTAACCAAGAAATAAATTATAATCCTCACAAGTTGTCGTCGTCAAGTGCCGGTGACATAAGTTCATTGATAAATGAAAAAGAGAGATGAGATAGAAAAACTCACATGACCCATTGCCCAACTGTTGGAAGCTAGTGTGCGGGCATTTGTGATATCTGCCTCATTTCTCCCATCCGTCCAGTCCCATAAGCTACCATAGCCCATTTGCATAAAACTTCACCATTAGATAACTAGAAAAGCAACTCAGAAGATAAAGTTTTCAATTGTGAAAAGGAAAGAAAATGACAACTACGAGAAGCAAATTCAACCAAGAACGCACAAAAGTATCACAGGGCCTAAAAGTTTTGCAATCAAGAAAGAATTGCAAATCCTCACAGAGGGAAGAAATGGCTACAATTCATTTAACTTAGTTGCACTGATGGTGTGTAGAAAAGAAGATTGGTACCTCAAGGTTTCAATGTGAGTCAAGCACCACAACTTTCTATAGTTCTCTCCAAAGAATCCGATCTTACCAACTGAAGTTCCAACGTTTATCACCTGCATGATCATGAGGGTAACACTAATAAAATATCTGTAGAATTGAGCTTGAAAACCCACTTAAGAAATCTCTTACTTAGAATTCAAGTTAAAATAAAATAACAAATCAGTCACCCGAACTGCAAGGATTTGTAGGAGAGTAGTGGTTAGTCAAACAGAAATTCGATTCTTAAAATTTGTATCCTAGATATATATATAAAGGAAGAATAATTGTAACAGCCCAAGTCCCCCGCTAGCAGATATTGTCCTTTTTGAGCTTTCCTTTCTAGACTTTTCCTCAAGGTTTTAAAACGCGTCAACTAGGGAGAGGTTTCCATACCCTTTTAAGGAATGCTTCGTTCCCCTCTCCAACCGATGTGGGATCTCACAACAATAAAATACAATCATGCTTACTCTTCCCGTTAAAATAGAGTCATTAAATGGGCCAATGGATTAGTCACCATGAAGAACTCTAATAATGCTATAGCATTCTAGATTTGCAAGCAAAGAATGTGCACCTAAAATAATAGGCTTTTTTTTCTATATTCGTGAGTGTTCGGACCAACTTGCGTGCACACCAACGAAGTAATAGACATTTATTCAAGCAAATGAGCTCAATCAGGAAAGTATGTATGCAAATAACATTGAGATAATAGTGGCTACATACAGAATCCATATGTTCGTCATCATCGATGTCCCCATTAGTGTCAAATATACAAACCAAACCATCCACGGAAGCGGAAGCAAGCTTGGCTTGATGGCCAGGGATAAAGTGAACCTGTTAACAAGAGCAAAATTGGATAACATGAGTTATACTACCACCAACAGAATTCAACCAAACAAAAAGGATCCCCAGGAAACGGAGTACTACAAAAGAGCGACGGAAGTGTTCAATTGTCATATCATAAGAACCCAGAAGTAACAAATCCCTAATTGTCATAAAATGCAGTTCTCAATTCTTTTCTATAACCACTATAGCTTTTGTACAGAAGTTTCTATATTACAACATGTTTTTCTAAAGAAAATCGAAAGCATCCGTTACATCTCTAGTTATTATTTATTTGAGACTGCTATTCACTTATATCTAATAGGGAATGCTAGACACACCATCATGGCAACCTCTAAGAGCTCTACCCTTCTCTTGATCGTTATTTCAGTAGTCGATAAGTTGAATATCATTGCTAACAAGCAAAGTGATTTTGCACATCATTGCTATGCAAGTTTAACAATCAAACTATTTCCTAAAAGAATATGATTCTCAAAAGCTAGTGGTTGTTAGAAATGCATCCTACTTTTTATGAGGACGGGAAACAATTTTCAATTTTGAGGAAAAATCATCTGCACAAAAGCCCGAATCTGACAAAAATACCGATGTCTAAACAATTTTCATTGCAATCACATATTATCTTAAGTTGAACAGGCACATGATTACTTTTTAAAATTGAAGCAATTGCTAAGTATAATCAAAATTATAATCACTATATACAAGATACATTGCTCAAGCATCAGGAAGAACCTGAGTGACATCTTCCACATGAGAGTCCTCCAAGCACGCGACTTGCTTTCTGTTCCTCCAATCCCAGAAGAGTATCTGAGTAACATAACCAAATAAGTTCAATTATTCTTTAAGAGTTCTTTTCACTAATGTCTCTAAACTCGTCGTTTGTAACGTCTCATACTTTAAGTTTTCATATTAAATAAATGGTTAAATTACAAGTTTGGTCCTTGAATTTTGTTAATAAAACTTTAAGCCTTCAATTTTACGTGGAATAGGTTCATGAACCTTAAATTGTGTCTAAGAAATCCTTAAAGAAATCCTCAACTTTAAAAACTGACTATTAGATCAATGATCAAACAGACACAAATGAAAGGTTAAAAGAGATTTATTAGGCATAACATTCAAAGCTTATGATCCTATTAGCAACTTTTAAAAATTTAGGAACTGAGAACAACTTCAAAAGTTCTGGCACCATTCTCATAATTTAACCTAAATGAATTCACAAAAGATTTCCAGCACTCTCCACAAAACTAGAAATATTATTTCTACTCTGCCATTGAAGAAAAAGGACATAATTATTAGGAAAATAACGTCTCTACTAAATCAAACCCACCTGAGATTTACAACCTGCAGCAAGAAGATTCACACTCGATCCTCCATAGGCAAAGCTGAAGATCTCTTGAGAAGGGCCAGCACTAATGGATGAAACCTGCAATTGGAGCAAGCAAGAGCATAACCCAAACTCACAAAAACAACGAATAAAAAGTAAAAACTAGACAAAACAAACCAAACCTGCTGAAAATTCCGCACATCCCAGGATCTGATAGTTCCATCAGAAGAACAAGAATGCAATACATGTGGGGTTGTTGATGGCATTGAGAAGGAAATTTGATTGATTGTTCCAATGTGACCTCTGCACTCTCCATAGTACTGGCCAGTCACTGGCGAGTACAGCTTCACAACATTCGAAGATAACGACACCGCCATTGACGTCCAATCCCCACTTCAAAAAGAAGTTAGAACAAAACCCTTGATTACCGAGACAAAAAAAAAAACAAGTTGAAACGACACAGACCCAGTTGGAAATTCCTTACTTGGGAGCG